TAAGGATCAACATACTTCGCGACTCTAGAGCAGACGCTCTAACTACTGCGCCACGCGGGCGACTTGTTTCGATAGATAAACTACCTCTGTGCATTCTTTTAAGGAAGGAAATTGATCACATTTCATTTTATTTCCTAATTTGTAATTTTGTTTACGAAGTCAATTTTATTTACATAGCTATCAATGCCCTCGTTCAGAATGTCGATAAACGCATATAGATTTTCATCTACAAAAACAAAGCTGATTTAATATGTCATCACTCTAATTATATATCTGTTCGTCTTTTTCTTATTGTTACTTATTGTTTCTTATTGTAATGTGATTGATGCTTGTTTTCCAGCCATAGAAAATTAGAGGTATTCCTTTCATTTTCATACATCCATTTAGCCCTCGATCATATCTATATAACTTTAAATTTATATTTATTTATATACAGTAGTTTGTCGAATTTCAACCTCTAGATTTTTTTCTTTTCTTGGTGAATCATGTTGACTTGTGTATATTGACTGTTTTCTTTCCTCTCAATACTTTTCTCAATACTTTTTATTCTGCTTTTCGAAGATTAATTGTCGTTGGTGCAGAATTGAACGCCTATACTTTATGTGATGTTTTATCAATTCCCATTTCGTGTACGTGTTATACTCACATTATTTTTTTTTTATCCTTGGGAGGTTGGTTGAAACTGTCATTTATCAAGGAACAATAATACGGATCTTGTAGAGCGGAGGTATGTAATTTTCAAAAGCTCTTTCGACCCCTATTGTTAGATGATGCTGAACATTCATAAATGAATGAGAGATGATCGCTAAATCTACATAAGTGTTATCATGCTTTGTATGTTTTGCAGCACTGCTAAGGCCACGAAAAGGAGACCGGGCCTAATTTATATGGGAAATATTCGATTTGACATCAGACATAAAAAATGAAATAGTTATTCCTCATACTACCATAAAATAAAATAATTTGCAACTTTGAACTGTATACCCCCGGTAAGCATAATAAACTTCATTAAACCTTACCGATAGAATTCATTTAAAAAGTTGCTATGTAAATTCCACACAACAGGTTATAAAGAAATCACTGATTCGCAAGAAACTTGTCGACTTGATGTCATTTTGATAAAAATGACGTATTCTATTTGCTGTGAGAGGCATATGAAGTATTTTTTACAGTGGAAATAGCTTTTCATTTTTAACAAAATAATATTTACAGACTTTAGACGCATGCAGCCTGACTTTTATGAAAAAGATAAAGTCATTATTTGGTGTTTTTAAGCAAACAAAACATTGGAGAATTATTATTTTTTTTTTTTTAAATCAGAACTCAACCATGCTCGATAACAAAACTATTCAATAAGTTATATAGGTAGGGTATTTTCCTTTGTAATTTACGTTATTGTCTTAGGTCGATTTGACCCCCTCTTAAAGTTTTTTTTATTGCCAAAATGAATATTAAAATTTATCTGGGTTTTTTAGAACTGTGTCTGTACTAAAAAATATATCAACAATTTTGTTTCTGCACCAGTGTTTTTCTCTTAATTTATAATTAACAAATGCTGTTTGCTTTAATCTTAATTTTAAAATGGAATAATTCTTTTCTTTTTCGCTAAAAATTTTTAATCTGAATTTCTGTGCGACTTAATTTTATGATTTTGAATCCTGAAGAGAAAAGGATTTTAAAATTTACTTTGGCAAGAAACTGTGAAAATTCTAAATCATTTCTCCTAAAGAAATATATTGATAACGTAATTTACAATTTCATAGCAATTCAAACCAAAAAATAATATTTTCTGGAATTTTTCCCCCACCCATCTAAATAACATACAGTATTTTCATACACCCATAAAATGCCACCAATACTGATTATTGTTCATCTTTTTGAGAGATTCACAGTTAGATATAATGATAACGTAAGATCTGCTGTCAAATTTATTTTTTCTTTTCTTTTTCTAGTTAAGTCTCTCCCTATTTTATCTTCTTTTACTCCCTAATAATATGCTTTTTAAATTTCTTCTTTTGACTTTACCATCTCTGTTAAACGAAGTTAATGAAATATAATTACAGAGAAAGGCATTTAAAGTATATTTAATTTACGTTATCATTACTGTAATTTACCTTATGAAAGTTTTGCTTCAGTAAATCACCAATGAACAGAGATTTATGCGTGAACAATTGCTTCAAATATAAAGAAGAACACATTATTTTAAAAACAATTAAAATTCAGGCAAAAATGCATTATAGTTATTTTACAATTTTTTTAAATTTTACTGTAGACATATTTTAAGGTGAGGAAATTCAGTATACATCTACAAGGGGCTATCAAAAAGTTCGTGGACTAGCGCCATAAAATTAAAGCCGCTTTAGCTACATCAATGGATTTTAAAATATTTAGTGATCATCATCTTTTCTATGTATGAAATAAACCACAAATCATGATTTTTATTATTAAATAAGTTAGTAAGGTTTTTGTAAGCAGTGGTATGTCCAGGCGGAGCAACCTCGAAAACGACATTTTTTCGACCTAAGTATAACTTAGATAAACTATTTTGATATGGACATTTGACATCCCAAAATTCCGTTAATTCAGGTCTGTGTTGGGACAATATTGTTCCATAAAATATTAATTTTTTACCTTATTCTGGAAATTCTATGAAATTTTATTGTAAATTTTACATGGAATATCGAAACAAATATTGCCTTGAAAACGACGTCAAAAGAGGGAGGGGTTTCATTTTTCAACATTCTATAAAGTTTTGTCCCTTAAAAAAACTGATATACACCTAGGAAATCTTTTAATTGGCTACGAAGAATAAAATTGCATCCAGATTACTTGTTTTTTATTGCCAAAACAGATTCAGAGAGAAAAGGGATGCAAAGTTAATGTGATTTGTAGTCAAGGTTTAAAAATTTCTCATGTCAAATAATGACGATGATCATGTGTTTTATAGCTATATCGAACTCCAGAAAACAAAATATGCTGGCACAATCAAGCAAGATTGTCTCCCAGTGTATATTTGCAATAATATATGCACTGAAAGCTGCTGTTCATGACATTGTTAGATGATAAAAACAAGACGGGTTGAAGTCATTACTCAGCTCTAGAGAATCTTATCAAAATAAATATACGAGGCAGGAATTAAACGGACATTAAAAAATAATGACTTTGTCGGACGTCATGAAACTAAGCGGCGACGGCGCCGGGTGATCATATAATGTCGTCTTAATTTTATGATAATTTGGGAAATAATGAACGTATCAAGCTAAAATTTTCAACATTTCTTTATTTTTTGTTGTTTTATGTTCCTTTTAAATTTTGTAAGCTCAAACATTATGGTATTAATTTTATAGCGTCAGTCCACGAACTTTTTGATAACCCCTCGTATTTATGCATTATTACATGCAAAAGTCATACCTTTTAACATAAGAATATAATTGCTGTGTTTTATTCAGTGGTCTAAACATTGACCTTTGCTTGAGCGACAGACTAAAAAGCCACTTTTTAGACTATATACTTGGATCCCAGGGAGGTTTTAACCTGTGTATTAACATTTTACTGTGTTGGTTTAATTTGGTAAATATAGACGTATCACAAACAAAATACTACAAAATTTACTAGTTATTTTTATACTAATGTAATTTAAAGTGCTTGCGACATCCAAATAGCGCATTTGGACGGATTATATGAGAATAGGTGTATTACATGTAATACCAATATGAAATCTTTGATTAGTGCAATTACTCATTGATTATTGAGAGTATAATTTATTTAAATTTTTTCTGTTTTGTGTACAGATTCTGTGTACAAGGGCATACACTGTACACTTAATAGATCTTAACCATATTTTAATTTGGATAAAGGATTTAATTCTTGACTTGAAAATTGCCGCTGCTTTATGTAAATCCAGAGGGTTACTAAATGAGGACATAAAATACTCATCAAAGGTCAAGCATATTTTGATATAAGACCAATTAAATAAAATTTTAACTAATCAATTGCGAAAGCTATTGAAAGCAAAAACTTTTCCAAAAGGTACAAGGAATGCAGAAAAGATTGATATTTTTTTTGTTTTATCTAGGGTATACCGTTGTGAAATTGAAATTTGTACCTGACCATTCAGTACAAATATTATGCATTCATCAGATGTCTGTTCATGGACAGGTCCAAACTTGAATTTTACTATGTAATTTCAATAAGTATGTAAGTTATTTGAAAATAAAGCAGCAACATGTTAATAAAAATAATACAGTTTAAAAAAAATTCCCACCTGCTGCTCGTCTATATTCTGCTGACCTTTCATTGTAAGCATTAAATTACAGTGATGCTTTATCTCAATATATTATATAATCTCGGGAGTAAAACAAAGATTTTATCTAATATAAACAACTTGCATTTTACTATAAGACAAACTGTTTTCGTTACATCACGTTAAACCTTCTTTATCAGATTTTATGTCCGACAACAAATTCTACATAATGATATCGGTTTAATCAACATATTTCCCAATAAACTTACACTCTTAGCGTAGTGAAGACGTTCCGCTGCCACACAACCACCAAAGCACATTGTTATAGCCTGCTCAGATAGTTTGAAATGCTCTCCAAATACTTGAAAGTCACAGGGGTATAAGTTTGAAAGGAAATTTTGCTCCCCGTCGACGGCTGCTTGTGGTTGTTTTCAGTGTATACGTACTGGGGACAAGCCTCACCGCCTGGCTCATGGAATTTGTTTTAGTTAAAATATACATTTAAAGCTATATTTTTAATATTAAAGTGTTCTTAATCATGATCATTTTAGCACTATAAGAAAGGACTTTTAAAAAAGGGGCAAATAAATTCATCTTGAATTTTTTTTAACTTCCTTTTTTCTTTTCCTGAGAAATCTTAATGTATAATTGCGTTTATTTCAGGCAATTAATCACGTGATATCCTGTCATGTAAGAGTATCGAATAAAATTTGAGGAAATTTACTTGTCGTGTTATCATCTTCCATAACAAAAGAAGAAAAATAACATTCTCTAATATGCATCTGTAACTTTTCAACCGTGCTGGTCGCATCAAAACTGTCCAAAATTTCATCAGATTTATATTAAGGTGAGTTAGATTTTCAATCTTATTTAAGGAATGAAGCTAATTTCAACTTATGTTATGCGAAGCGATTTATAAAAAAGCGTAAACTGCCCCATGTTTTGTTATATCGTATAACATAAGTTGAAATTAGCTTCATTCCTTATAATTTAATTTCAGTATAGACATTAAGACAATTTTTCCTCCAGAATAAGGTTTCAAATTGAGCATGATTTAAAAAGAAACGTCAAGCAGAGTAATATGTTTTTGACGTAACTCATTGTGACGTAGGCAAGTTATGTTATCCAAAATATTATATGTTCCTCTGAATGATTCAGCCAATGAAAAAGCTTGATACAAGTGAAATTAAATTATTTTTAAATGTTCATTAATCTCAAGGCATGCTCCACATTTTTTCACTTGCATTAAAAATTGAAAATCGTCATGAATATATACATATTTTTAACGGGGAGATTTCTTAAAATGTAGGTCTGCAAAAACGCAAACATTTCGTCAAAACATACAAATATGGCTCAGTGTTGAAAGATAGACAAGTTGACAGGCCCAGGTGTTGACATGTTGACGTATTGTTTTCTTGACAGGTTGGCCTTTTCAGGAAGACAGTTCGACGGGATGGAAGGTTGTTTGATTAACAGGGGTACATTATGTCATATTATAGAAGAAAGTCGAAGGGTTTACAAGTCGAAAGGGGACGATTCGACGGGATAAAAGGTCGACAGATTGACGAGTTTACAGGTCGACAAATAGTAAGGTTGACGGGCTGGCAGGTCGACAGGTTGACAAATTATTTTCCCGAGTGGGTTTGAGCACTTACAGTGATATTTTAGGTTTGTTGTGGATTAAACCGTATCTTCCCGGCCGGTTCATGGACTAAACCCTCTCTCTGGGGAGGGCTCGAGAATCAACCCTAATCTTTCAGCTGTGTTCAAGGACTAACCCTTATTTCGGACTGTATCGATAAATCAAGTTATTTAACAAAACTAACCCTAATGTCTGATGTTAATTGTTGCAAAACAAAGTTATGTTCACTTGTTTTTTTTTTCATTTGAAAGAATGATATTAGGGTAAACATATTTCCAATTGGTAGTTAATTGTCTATCAGTCAACTTTTGTTTTAGGCAATAAAGAAATTGAATGAGTATCAACTCTTTACTTGACGACTTGGAAATTGTAGTCAACTGTCGATCTGTCGTCCATTATTGGGAAAGAATTTAGCAATCTAATATCGAACTATTGACCTGTATTTTTTTTTCAAGTCTTCCTCTAACTCACATATTAAAAATCCACATATTAAGATGGGAAACCATAGTCCTTTGTACAACGAAAAAATAATATCGGTGCGATTTTGTGGATATTGACAGTAAGCAAAACTTCTTAAAACAGAAGGTATAGAATCTATATTACATACAAGAATAGGGGACTAATGTATTTAAACTCTGTCAAATCTGTCGATATTGAAACAACATGTACCTCGTGTCTAGGACACAATTCTTATAACAAATATTAAAAAACAATGTACGAGGGTTGTCCCTAAATTCATTGACAAGCGTTGTTTTGTAAGAACTCTATGTCATACATTAATGAAACTTCGTATATAGATTAAACAAACACTAATAAATTTATGTACAACTATGGAGTAACTACATAAATTATTCTAATTTAAAAGATACATTTCATTGTAGGGTTTCTGGCGCAATGTCCAAAAATTACGATTAGAATTTGGTATATTGTATACAAAATCTTACGGAAAAGTGATTACTACCCTGTATTTTTTTAAGTGGATATGACAATTCTCAATATTGTGGACCGTTCACGGTAGCTCAGTCGGTAGATCGCTCGCTTTGTAATCGGAAGGACGTGAGTTCAAATCTCGGCCGCGACTGACCTAGTCGTTAAAATTGGTAGCAACTGTTCCTTCGTCATGCGCTCTGCATTTTGAAGTGAAAGTTGCGGGTCCTTCGGATAAGACCTTAATAATAGAGGCCCCATGTCAGCTGCAGGCGTTGTCATGATAAAGATCCCTCACTGCTCAATGGCCCTGAGTGCCGAGTTATGGTCCAATTTTGTAGTCCTTCACCGGCATACGGTGACGTCTCCATATGAGTGAAAAATTCTCTAGTGGGACGTTAAACAATAAACAATCAATATTGTGTTCTTGACTGTATTTCTTAAAATTTTGGTGTGTATGCTTTCATAAATATGGATTTTATATACATTGGGTTGAAATCCAACTTTTTGAAAAATGGTGGCTGCGTTGGCACAGGCGCCGCTCTGAATTATTTTCAAGGTTTTGATCCTAAATTCAAGCTTACAGATAGGTACCATTCATATATGTTAAGTGCACTATGAAACATTTTCTCCTTAATAATTAAAATGACTAACACAGTTTCTAAATGTATATGTGAATAACAGAAACTAAACTAAAAGATAAGGCTACGAAATTGGCGAGAATTCATTCAATTATGCAACTTCATTAGTAAGAAAAAAAACCCTAGAAAATTCCCGTTGAAAAATAGTGTTTTCAGATTATTAATATTATAAACCTGTACATGCATATACTTTGTTTATATATTTAATGTTTGATCATATGATAGTAATTAAGGTATTTAACATTAATAACTATAGCTTTTCGTTTAATTTAAGAATTTGATTTTGGTAATTGAAATATTTTCTCAAAAAAAAATTGAATCGTTGACATTTGTAATTTTTGACGTTGCAGATCGCTCCAGGTGGTAGAGAACAATATCACTTTAAATCTTATAACTAAAAAAAGTCTTCAAGTAAACAGGGTGAAATTTCGTAATCTATTTTCCAAGAACATGCTTTATCCACCCTGAAAATTTTATAAAGATACATTAATTTCTTTAAGAGATATGAGCTCAGTATATGACATTTTAGGATATAACCCTCGTATAACAAAATATATCCAACTCTTATACCGTTATACACGTAACTAGTTATATGTCAACTGTCAGACTGTCGACTTTTAAGAAAGTTTATAAACCTTCATTACAAGTGTAACATTTTCGATCATTTAAGGAAAAACACTGCAAAACATTCACTTTTTTTCAGTGACACTATATGTATTTCATTCCTTATTTTTAACTTTAACGATGACAACTGGTTTTATTGATCTAATTTACGTTCACCCTTGATGAAGCTCTACTTCCTTGTGCACTACTCTGGAAAATTATAAAAACTGCATGCTTAAAATACATGTACTGTCCTTGCTGTTTTGGTTTTTCTGATTTCTTTTTTTATAGTTCTGTCTTGCATCTCTTGGTTTTTATGTTCTGATACCAAAGACTCTACAATAGATGGAACCAATCTTAAATCTGTGAATCCTGCTATACTACTTGATATTGTGCAAACACAGGTTTTAATTAAGAAATAAGGCATCATTTTTTCGAGTTTTAATGTGACGTAAAACGGGTTGGTCACGTTATCAAATCGTAAAAAGCCCTAAGGCCTTTATTGAAGATTTGATCATGTGCCAACCCGTCTTACATCCCAAGAAAACTCAAAAAATGATACCGTATTACTTATATTTTCATTAGTGACTTATTCATACATTAAATTTGCCTGATTAAATCTTTAAACGTGTGATATGAAATATTTTTCAAACCCAACGGCATGTATGTAATCCACAGAAGACGCGTCGACCCTTTTTGATGTCACTGAGAAAGTATGTCGAACGTTTATCCATACGAACATCTAAGAATTTTTGACCCCGTACCTCTATTTGAAAAGTTATAAAAACGCTTGCTTTCAGTAGACTAAGTGTTGTATGAAGGAAAACATATACAAATGTAAATATTTATGAAAAAAATGATTCATTTGATTGAACTATCATATCAAGAAATAATAATACAATTACTTTTAAAAGATGAAAACGATTTGATAAAGTGCAGTACGACTCATACGCATAATTTGACAAACACAAATGGAAAAGCACTCGAGTCAAGTTCAAAACATTTATTACCGGGTATACTTTTGTTATTCTGTGCTTGTTTTTTTTAATCAAACATGGAAAATTTGATAGACTTTTGCAATCTCCTAAAGAAAAAAACTTTTTTTTTTAAATTCCTGGCTTAATGTTTTATCTAGTATTTCCAAAAAAAAAGCTACTTTTTAAATTCGAAAAACAATTTATAACAATAAATTGTATCGCCGAGCACGTGCAAAATAAACAATTACTACCCAATTTATATTGACTTAGGTTAGTCGATGCCTAGATTCGATCTTCCGACATCCCGATCACTGGGCGATCGCTCTAGCGTGAGTGGTGCCACGAGTTGATGTACATGTACATGTGCAATGCCTGGTCGTTTCTGACATCAAATGTCCCCTTTATTTACTTTGGTTTTATTATAAAATAAAATGGATTGCCTGCAGATTTCAGAAATTTCAACCTGAAAATTCCCCAAAACCTGTTGTGTACTCAAACATATATTATAATCTGTTATCAACAAGTTTCAAAAGAAGGTCATAGGTCCATGGCAGAGAACTACGCATACTAACTTTCGATTCCATCCAACATTCAACACCCTATGAGTTAAAAAAAGAGAATTCTAAGGCAAACATGCGTTCACTATATATAATTATTAAATTATTGTATTAATGCGGTGTCAAATTGTTAATTGTTCTTAATTACAACTTTTTTTAAATATGGATATGGATACATACTCAAATAAAATCAAATATATATTTCTCTGCAAAGATACCCCCTCTTTCAATAATCGATAAAACCTTGGGGATGTATTTGTCGAATGCACGTAGCAATTTACTATACATGTAGCTGAAGGAAGATTTAAAAAAAACTTCTATTGAGTTCTGCTGTGAAGAGACCTGTTTTACCAAAATTGTAGAGCTTTATTACTGTAGGCATAACTTCCCGATACTTCTGATTTTACTTTCATTACTTTATTTCTACAGAGTTTAAAAAAGCAAACAGATGACTTTAAGTCCTAATGGCTCATTTTGCTATTTTTGTGCGATTGTCTGGT